GTAAGACTGAAAAAATGAGCTCGGAGACTTTTTTTCTGAGTACCTAAAGGGTATTTTCTTTTTATCTTTAAGAGAAGCAGTAATGGTATCAGAAAACATATGTGTACGTGTATATTTTCAAAATTCCTGAAGCTTAAAGTATCTGGAGATAGAGTGGCCTAGGGCAGTAACAACTTGGAGAGTGAGTGCAGGGTGTGTTGGACCAGTGCTCACATACAGCCGTAGGGCTGCACTGTGTTCTTGGGGGTTTACAGCAAGTAGAGCAAGAAATTGATAGATCTTGAGTGCCATGTTCTGTATTTGACATCTAATGTGGGTTTTTTGAGCCATGTTTCATGTGTGCATTCATTCTTGCAAAAAGACTCTTGCCTGTTTGCTTTCACACTAATGAGATATTCTCATTCAATTCTTTGTTATGCCAGCTCTAATTTCCAACTCTTTGACGTGAGCAACTATTTTTCTCTGAAAGGCTGAGATCACGTGACAGAATTATAAATTTACTCCTGAAATGCTCCACTAATAAATAATAAAGTGTTTATAAATATGCAAAATAGATTATTAGTCAATTCTACAAAATCTTGGCTACAGGAGCATAAAAGTGTGCCCTGCAGCTTGTATATCTATTATAAAAAAAAAAAAAAAAAAGGAAGAAACTAAGAAGAAATTCACATTCCTTTTTTAACTTCCAAGCAGCAAATGCTGAATAATTTACTTCTGATAGTGATTATGTTAAAAGCAAATCATTTGTTTCCTTGAACTGTAGCAAACAATGTGCTGTAAATATGTGATTTTTAAAATATTACATATACACAGAGGGACAGAGTAAGTTGTTCATTTGAGCAGCTCATTAAATAGCAGCTCTTCAGCAAAAATCTCACCCTGTCTGTAAGTATGCTGAGTGGTACTACTGTTTTATTTAAGCTTAGCAAGCTTCAGGAATGCTAATAGCACTTAAATAGACCTGACTCTTAACTACAGGAGCTCAGACTGGAACCTTGATTTAAGTCACACTGGGGTTTGCTCGTTACCCAGCGGTACCACCCAAGGGTGATGCGGGGCAGGAGAAGGGAGGGTGCCTGGGTGACCTGGGGCTATGCGCTTTGCTGTGCACAGACCGTGGCAGGTGTCACCTCCGAGTGTTTTGATCCGTGGGGTAGCACAGCCCCGCTGTCCCGCACCTGCCAACTCCGCATCCAAGCCTACGGTGGTTTTAGGGATGGAGTTAAGGTTGACCTGTGCTGGGGGTTGGATATTCATTGCTGCTGTACAGGCTGAGCGTGTGGCTTTTATTAGCTGGTGGGTTTGTGTTGCTGAGTCAGCCTTGGGGATTAGTAGGATCTCAAGAGCACTCCTGCCAAAATCTGCTTTTTTTCAAGCCTCATCCTTGTCAGGAAGCTGTTGCAACAATATTTTCCTCATTGTTCCAAAAGAAACAGCCTTATTTCTCCTTCACCATAACTTTATCCAGAAGGGCATTGCTAATCTGTAACTGCAGGTAACCCACAGCAGTTGGGGATGGCAGTAAGGTAACTGGGCAGTCGGTGGCAGAAATATCAGAGGAAGCTGGATGGCAAATGGGGCGGCAGGGAAAGAAAGGCAGGGACCACCGTATTTGCTTCTGAACTTTGAGAACATTGTTGCACTATCAATAAGAGGAACTGGTATGACACCAAAAAAATTTATCAGATCAAAGAAAGGAAACAGGAGAAATTATCCGAATAGACTGTTTTTTGTCCGTTTACCTGAGAAACATCTTGATGCCACTGGGATCTGTACCATAGGAGCTCCTATGCAAGGAGATAGAGGGAGCAGGGTAATTTCAGACACTGTCTGAAAGGCGCTGCTGAGACAACCCTGCTGACAGCCAGGCAGAAATGAAGTGAGGAAATGTCAAATGTTCTTGACCCGAGCGTAAACCTTTATGAATTGAGGGCAGGAGAAGAGAAAAGTGTTTGTAAAGAAGAGCTGCTCTTCAGCTAAATATGTTTGTATCGGGGCAGAGGCGGTCTGGAAACTCATGGCAGGGAATGGGCAACAGCTGGGGAGAGGAAAAGGATTTAGAAATGATGCTTCAAGGACCTGATGATGATTTGCAGCATTTTATTTTTGCTCAGCAACAGGGCAGTGATTATTCTGGGTTGGCATCAGAGTCGATGAGGACCAGACACATCAACCCAGGCCACCTTGTAACAGACTTGTTACCTGGCAAGGAATGCACATCTGAAACTCGCAGCTGAGGATTTACTGTGAGCAGGGCCAGAAAGTGTAGAGGAGAGAGTTTGGCTTCTGTGATCCTATAGCCTAGAGTGAGTTGCTCTCTGGCCCGTGTGTAAGGGGGACTGCTGGCACAGTTATTTCACTGGCTTTTAGACATGGGGGAGGCGTCCCCAAGGATGCTCTGTGCTGCCTAACGCAGGTCAGAGGAGATGGCCAAACTGTCTCATTGGGCTTTGGAACTGGTAAAGGTCCTGAGCAGGTATATGTTGCTAAACTGTTGCTAGGCCAGAATAACAACATGTACATTGAATTAAATTATCTAGAAAGAGCCGGTGTAAGAAGCCCAGAGGTGTCAGGGAGAGCTTTAAGTAGATGATATGTGTTCTCCTTCATATAAAAGCCTTAAAATAAATGGACCTGGCTGAAATGGTGCAGTAGGTCATCTAATCTTTATCCTTCCTCATATTTCAAACCAACAGTCCCTCATCTGCACACTACAAAGCTGAACCCCTGGCTAGGGAAAGCCAGTCCTTGCTTTACATGCAGATCAGTGGGTTCCCTCCAGCGTTGGGAGGAATGGAGTGGGCAGCGACAGGCAACAACTAGGAGTGTATTCCCAAACCAGCACTGGCAGCCTTTGAAGGCTGGAAATTTAGGTTGTAATCCCTTCCAAAATAGAAATTAAACGTGCTGGCTGAAGCTGCGAAGCAGCCGGCCATGCCCCTTGGAACCTGCATTCCCCTACCTCGTCGACTCGCAGCGCAGAGGGAAGCGAGTGAACAGGATGGTTTATGAGAAACCAGCAGGAGGGGAGCAAAAAGCCTAGAAACCAGCTTTATGCCTCATAAGCCATCAAGAACTGCAACTGGATTTTTAAGACCCTTTGCTTCTTAGCTTTAAAAGCAATGGCCACCCATTCCATACTGCGTTCTTGAACTGAAGAGGTGTTTTTCAGCTCATTTAACACCCCATGAGCAAACAGTCACTGGAGAAGCGACTCAACCGGGAGGAGATGTCTGTTAGAAACCAGAGCTAGAAGAGTTTCTGGCCTCTTAGAAATTGGTAATTGCCATGTGATAGGGAGATTAACTATCTTCAATTATGTTTTTGTGCAGCCTAGTTACAGACTACTTGGTCTTAAGCAATTAGAGCTATTCCTGTTTCATACTCTTAATAGAGCCTGTTGTCAGGCATAATTCAAATTATCTGTGTTAAACTAACATCTCTCTGATAGCACTTGCCAAACATCATTGACAATTTTGCAGTTATCAGTATTAAGGCATCCAAAGATTACTAAGAGACACAAGAAAGGCACCCCCTCTCCTTTGCAGGGTTATAAATATGTATTAGACAGCTCTGTTCAGTTAACCTCACACTCGTGCACAGACTTGCTAATAAGAGCAGCAGTTTGTACAAAGGTGGCAACAGCCAAGAACGGGAGAGAGGGGAAGTCATGTTATACCCTGGCCCATGCAGAGCCCTTCTAGATACTGGAGAAATAACCCTCTAATAGGATCCATTTAAAAAGTATATGTCTGAAGACTTGTCTGAGAAAATCTTTGTTGTGCAAGAACTTAGTTGTAGCTGCAGGCTTCCTGCGTGTCAAAATTCAGAAAGGGCTAAGCTGAGCCCTGCCCCTTCTGCCCAGAGCCTCAGCTGCAGTCACCTTCATCAAGTACTACCTTTTTAGCTCCTAGCTAATATTTTACATCAGATTTTTGGTCATTTGCTCATCTTGCACTTGAGACCTCATCAGAAAGGCAAGAACACCCAGAGATTGTAGCTGCTGCCTTTCCATCACATGGCATCTTCACTTCTGCAGCTTATGCTAACAGGAGCCTGTCCCATTTAGGCACAGCTCTGTCAGGTTGGGGCTCACCTTGATGGGTCTTCAACTTCCTACACAAACCAGCTTTGCTGCACAACAGCTGGCTCGTGGCTGAGGCTTGATAGCATTTTGTTAAGTATTTTGAATTAGATTGAGCTTTACTTTACTGTCAAGACATAATTGAAAAGCATCAACTGAACAGCAGCTGCCTTTTGTCCACAGCACTGAATTACTCTTAGACTGTTACTGAAGAGATGAAGATCAAGGCAGGAGCAATTACATGGTATGTGGGAAAGAGGCAGAGCTGGTTCATGCACCGGGTACTGGATCAGTCTGTCCTGTAGCTGCTCCAGGGTCTGCACTCTATGTAAAAACATTACAAGAGGAAAACAGCCTTGAGAGCACAGCTAAAAAGTGCACAACAACAAACAAGCCTCAGATTGCCCTGATCCTTATCTCCAGCACTTCAGCATCTCACCAAGCCCTGAAAGTCACAAGGCAGAATTGCTTCAGCAGCAGGGAACCTGGTCAAGCAAGACTGAAGTGAAAGGAAGTCTGCTTAACGGCTGTGGTATGGCCTGGCCACCCCAGGGAGGGGACATGCCTTGGCTCACGCAACTGGGCTTGAAGTCTGGGCCAAGAAGTCTATAGTTTGTGGGCTCCAAGGTACCGAACATGGTTGTAGACAAACGTACTGAGATATCTTCCCTTTAGAATCTAGACATAAGCCTAGCTTCTTGATGGTTGATCTGGGACTTTGTGTAATTAAACACATTGCTTTTCCATGCTGGTAAAACCAGTTTTCCCCCTTGCTGTGCTCTGGTTCAGGGTCAGGGGACAAAGGAGCTTGCAGCCCTCTTCTAACGAGGGCTCATGCAAGGCGCTCTCAAATTCACCAACCTTCAACAAGCAACAGCCCCTTTCCCATTCCCTCCTTAACACACGACACGAGGGATTTCAAGAACATGTTTAATGATGGCAGTTTCTATTGAAACATGAGAAGGCCATTCAAACTTGTCTTACCAATTTTTTCTTAAGAAGCAGCTTTGGTCACAATGACAAATTTTCTTAAACATGTTTTAAAAAGTTCAAGCGATTGCACAAAACAAAATGCATGGTCCTGATAACTCCTCACACAAAAACTGCAGCAGCAGCAACTCATCTAACAGAAGAAAAAGCCCTTAATGAAAACCATAGCCTGCCACCCTGCAGAGATTATACCACATACAGTGAATCAGAAAGAATAGTTCCAAACAAAACGTTTAAGTGCATTTATGTTTGTATGTTGAAGCTTCATTAGCGCCTGTAGACTTTTCCAAGTCAGTTTGGGCTTAAGATAAGTATTAGGATAGCACAAGTTAGTGTACTAAACAAGCGTTTGCAGTCATCTCCACATCTTTCAGGAGGAAAAGGAGAGAAAAAAAAAAAAAAAAATACAAAGCTATCTGTGCATTTCTGACTCAATTCTGCAGGCAGGCATGGCACACCAACTTCTGGCTTCTCAAATGTAATCTCCGATAACGGCTGAGATTGGAGTAAAGAAGCTGCAATTCTGTGCAGGGTTTTTCCTCCACAGCACAGCATGCACAAATAGGAAAGCCTCTAATTTGTTTGCTCTGTTTGACTCTGCTTCTAGTTGGTAGATTTTGTAAGCAGTGAGTGAGCTACAGGCAGACATTTGTAATAATGTTTTTTTCATTTTCTGTAACAAAAAAGTACGCCTTTAAGAATGCTCTTGAACAAAGCAAGTTTTGACTATGCAACACAAAATAGCAGCAGATATTAAGACACATTACAGTCACAATCAGACTAAATCTGCAGTGTTAAGATACACAGAACATTAAGGTAAAACACTCATGTAGTGGTTAATGGCTATTTCTCTTCCGATGAACTCCTAAAACTATCTGAACCAAACAGTTCAAATTATTAAAACTATGTTTTAAACTAATTCCTACCATTAAAAAAATATTCAGATATATACACTATTAGATGAGTCACATCAAGTGCTCTTAAAATCTTAACTAAATATAGCTATAGAATATTTAACCAGACACTTTAAACCACATACAGCAACTTTTGTAGAGGTAAACATGGCCTCACATTTGCAACAGCAACTGAGTATCAAACAAAGCATTCGGATTATTTTCATGACCATAAACAACTGGTGAGGTTGGCCTTTTATTTCTACCAAGCAGCTGCTGCTACCCTATAAGCACTTTTTAGCTTACGGCACGTGGTTTGGCACCTCTCTGAGGAGCCAGAGCATCCCAGTGGCAGTTGAGCACCTCCATCACAACATCTCAAATATCTGGTCCCTGTCCACCACTGAGATTTGGCCGCGTTATAGAGACAGTGGGATTTTTTAGCCACAAGCAAAGGGAGTGGATGGCCTTCGCCAGTCTAACTCAGCAAGTGACCTAAAGTTGTGGGAAAAACTCCTATTTCAGGAACTGACATCCTTGGAAAGAAGTGTCCATTATGCAACTTTTCCTCTCATCTCTCTCCTGCATAACATGGTCTCACCTTTCTTTTGTTCAAAGAGAAGGCTTCATTCCCTCTCCACCACTCATCCCCAGCACCTGATGTTCAGCTTAATGAGTTTGGCAGAGGAGTGGACACAAACATGTTGCTATGGTATCTGCTCTGACAGGGCAGTCACCTCGCTCCATCGCCTCCTTCCACAAACACAGACAGAAGCTTTTAACCTCCTTCTCCTCTCTCAGCATCGCCACTTCTCTGACTTCAAAAGGACTCAGTCTGCCCAAGAAGTTCAATACTTGGTCTTCAAAGTACTTTAGCCCTGAAGAGACACAATATATTTCCTTCAGCATCAGCCAGCCTGACACCTGTTTCACCTAGGTGGGGAAAGAGCCCCAGACCTTACCTCAACCCGCACCATCATTGAACCTACTGGTCTCTGCAATTTCTACCAGCCAGAACACAACCTGCTTGGCCTCGTCCTCACCTCGCAGCTGACACATTAAATATTGCTTAGTAACTGTATACAGAATGACTCAAACTCATTCCATGAATGAAAATAGCATAGTATTTTTATATTGCCTTGATGACTATTATTAACACAACAGTCTGCTGTGGGATTTTTCCATCCAGGCTGAGTGGGCTGTTTGCAAAGCCTTTGCTGAGTCACGGCTAGGGAAAGCAAGCTGTGTTATGGGAGCTTCTCCGATGAAAGTGCAAGGCTGCTGGGAAGGAGAAAAAAAAAAAAAAAAAAAAAAATTCCCCTTCACCTCCATTTCCTGACTGCAGAGCCCAAGGGAACCGTGCAGAACTGGCATAGGTCACGGTATCATGACAAAGCTGTTCAGTGTTCTCAGCAAGCCTCAAATCCCAATCGGCCTTCAAAAAAAACCAACCCCAAAACTGGCAGCTCGCTGAAAGACTGGTGCTTTGCCAGAAACTGCAGTCGCCTTGAGGGGTTGTAACTGCAGGAGGCTAGTAGAGGGTCAAGCAAACAGTGGGACAAACCTAAAACAATTAGAAAACATGCGTTCCCCAAGAAAAGCAAGATTCCAGCCAGCTTAAAAACCCAAACTAAAAGGTGTTAAAGGGTACAGTAAAGTCTGAACTGCATCTGTGGTTACTTTAAAGGAAAACCACAAAGTAAAGAAACTAACCCAGTTAGGTTTGCCCTTTAGAACGGTGGCCTGGAAAGTGTACATACTTGTGGTCTCCTAAACCCAATCTATCCAGATGCAGCATTCTAATTCTCACAGTGTCATCCCACAGCTCTGACCTCTGCAGCACAAAGCACAGCAGGGAATGATGGTTAAAAATGCATCCTTGAGTTAAATGGGATTTGTCAAGCAGGTGGTAAGGGAAAACTTCCAGTTTGATACAGATTAAGATCACTTACATGAAACTTTCATGAAAAATAAGGTATTCCTTCTGAAATCTAATCATTCCACATGAGGACTTATTTTACTTAGAAAAAGAGTAATATAGATGAATTGTAGACAAGTTACAGTCAGCACAGGACAGTACAAAACACTGGTTTTACTCCCTGTGGAAGGGCAGAAAACTACAAAAATATATCTTCTTTAATCCAAGATTGTTGTAGTTTAGGGCATGCCTGATTCTTCCTACTTCCCCATGGTCTCATCTATTGAAGTTGGTCTGATCAGAGCTCCTTGGAACAATGAGAATGTCAATGAGAATGTCATCATGAAAGCTTAGTGCAATTGTTTTTTTTTTAAAAAAAAAAAGTCAGTAGCAAGTCAAGAAAATTTTCTACATGAGTCAACCTCTTACTCCCTCGCCCCTAAAAATCCTACACTAAACATACAGCATGGCATTTCAACATGGCTTACATTTTTACCACCTAAAGTCATAAATCACATCTGTAAGGCCCCAAAAATACACTTCTTGGGTTTTTTTAAACACATGATCTCTTTAACAACGACCAAAGTTTAACAGTGACTGAAGTATTGAATTAGGATTTTAGGAAGTAAGTCCTTAGGGCAGCTTGGTTCAGTCTTCCTTTTGCAAAACTTACTTAGACCATAATGAGCTGCAAGTGAGTACACAGGGCTGTGTCTTGTCATGCTTTAGTGACACCACAGCCCTCCTAAAGCAAGAGAGAGCTGGGTTTGCAAAGAGGAACTCTGGTCATTCCAACACAGTGGTTTGGAAACCAGGGAACCAAGGGGTGACATTTTGGTCAGAAGATCCATAGCCTGCTGTACAAACAGCACCTCAAGGAGGTGAGGCTTGGTTTGGTTGTGACGCTGCAGAGATGAAAGCCTCCCCTTTCACAGTTATGGCTTCAGCAGGTCCCTCGACAGCAGAATGACGTCTTGCAGGGCACCAACTCTCCATGGAACTGTTTTACCTGAAAAGCAGGAAGAATTAGTACAGCTGTAGATTTGCAATTAAATAACTCACAGGCAGAGGTGAGAGCCCACGTGCAAAGTAGAAAAAAAAAATCCAAAAGGCCACCAAAGAAAAGGCAGCATTATTCACTGTGATTGCCATCAGTTCCCTCCAGCAGTTGATTTCTATGCCCCACGCTGGGCACTGATGTGATGTTAACACCATGCCAGGAGAATCTAGACTACGTGAAGAAAAAAAGTAGAGTTACATCAGATAAAACGCAGATGCTGAAAGGTCCTGTGAGCAGCCACTGTGCAGGCCAGAGAAGGGAGTGTGTGCAGGGGGACTGCTATTTCACTACACATGAAACAGCACCTTGGACCTCACAGCTTTGTTCACATCAGCACAGTTCCTTCCTAACCAACACATGTGGACTCTCCTCCTCGCTATGGTTTCTCCTCCTGACACCCTACTGCTCCAGGGCTTAAAAAAAATAGTCTTAACAGGAACTTGTTACACTCCATAAAGGAGGCCAGAGCCCTCCTGTAGGACTGCACTGCCAGTGTATAATCAACTGAACAAGGCAGCAGAATGTGGGATGCTTTGTAACAACCATTACAGTGGCATGAGGAAAGAACCTGGCCTACAAAAATTGCTTTTATACCATCTCTTTCCTCCCCATGTAGACCCATGGGAAATCCTTAACAGCAGCACCAAAGCTTTGGCAATTTGTTGTATTTACAGTAAGCAGCTGTGTTAGTGATTTGTACCCCGCTTCAGATGAGGATAAATGATATCCCTCCATTTATACACAATTTGTCACTGCTGTCTGCTGGAAAAAAAAAAAAAAAAAAAATTAAGCTGCTACAAACCCCAGCACAATTCACCTAGCATCCAGAATAGCCTGCAGCTTTTGCTGGCAAAAAATCCATTAGAGCTGCTCCCTTGAGAGTCAACACCTTGCTGTAGCAAGCAGACAATACCATGCTCCGTTCAGAGCTGCACACAGTCAGGATCTGGAAAGGACGTATTCAAAGAGAAGACACCAATAGCGTAACTCTCATTTTACAGAGTCCCATAAGACTCAGGCACACCAAAGGCTGAGCCCTGCAACTGTGATGAAGATGTTTCCACGCAGTTCAATGCTACCTGTGCCTGAAAAAGGGATGAATCAAGAATCCAGCCTTTACATGAGGTTCATCTTTCCTCTAAAACATCCTGCAAGCTCTCAGAAGCCCTTTAGTTCCATGATGGTTGAATAAAGGTTCCTGTCCTCATTCCTCTGTCTGCCACCACTCCTTACACATAAATCTTTCTGCTCTCAAGAGCACTTTGGAAGATGCATTCCTAAATTGCTCCTGCATTTTGCTGGTGCTGCTGCTGTTAGAGGGAAAAATGACAATCCATGTGGAAAACAAACAGGAATTTCATTTAGCCGACACAAAGGATGGAGGCTTCAATCTGCCCCAAGAAAAGCTTTCTCTCAGTACTTATTTAGGAGCCTGACACTGGGACTGGGATGATTCCAGCTCTGGCATTTACATTCCAAGTTATTCCCCAACTTCAGGCTCTCACATGGCACGTATCACCCCGGACTCAAAATGTTCTTTGGGGACAGTTGTGAAATTCTCACAGCTGGGCTCAGCAAGCCTAGCAAGAGCAGAAAGCGCTGCCTCCCACAGCTGCAAGCCAGCAGGGAGAGGAGACACTGCTGATATCCCAGATAACTGAAGCACTTTCAAAGCCTTTCATGTGCAAGGCACCACAGAATTTATTCAGCACTTGTTTTCAGTTTTCTATTGAAGCTGACAAGAAATCCCCCAATGAGCCATGCTAGAGTTAATAAGCTTAATAAGCTAACAATTTTATTTACCTTTTCAGAAACTTGTTCTTTTTGCAGCTGTTTTAACCTCTTTTCTTATTACACAAAGCAAGCAGAGTGCTCTGTGATGGGGGATGGACACCAACACCAGCTTGTCAGGGATATTTGCCTGTAACCTACTTTACTTCGCTCCCCTCTTCTCCAGTATCACGCAGCGCCAACTGCCTGATGAATCAATGGCTTAGCTCCATCAGGTAGATCATGAAACCTGTGAAACTTTTGCTTGCCTCTTGAAAGAAAGTGCTAAAGGAGCAAAGAGGAGAGGGAAATCTTAAAATCAAGACCTATTGTTGGGCTGAGAAAGAGCACACTTGGAGAATGGGATTTAGCTTTCCCCTATCTCCACTAATTTTCCAAGCTGTGCAGCAAGTGTAATCCCATCATAAAAAATGAAAAAAATCTGACATCTGGAAAATGATGACCAATACAGTTCACAAGGTCCAAAAATCAATTGGACAGGGATACCTTTCAGCCTTCAGCAGCACAGATTGAACTGGTGATCAAGAAGCAAACACCCTTTCCATATTCAGTTTGCTTTCTTTGTGTAGCTCTATAATAATTTCAGAACAATTCCTGAACTTCTTATCCAAATGCCTCTTTCAATACCAAAGCAAATATTCATAGAAAACCATCCTCTATATTAAAAAAAAAAAAAAAAAAAATGGTTTCCATGAAGCTTTTCAAGGAGGTGTTAATGTCTAAGTGATTCCACATCTTTGCTCTGTGACAATCTTTGATTTACACTTTCAGCCTCCTGTCACACAGAAATTGTGCTTGCAGGATTAGAGAGACCATTGACAGAACTGCTTCCCTGCTACTGAAATGAGATCGCAAAGAGGGTATCTAATCCAGTGCATGCACACTTCTGCATTTATCAGAGGCAGGCAGTGGGTGGTTTTTGCATCCACAGAAAGGACTGTGTTTGGTTAAGATTTTGAAGTGGTCTCATTAGTCTGCTTTACAGAAGGAAGGTGGTTATTTCTCATTGCTCCACAGCCCAAGTAAAGTAGGGGGTGGGATCTACTGGGAGCCCAAAACCTTAAAGCCTCCTGAAAAAAAAAAATAATTAAAAAGTAACAGCCTTCATACTGCAACCCAATTTACACTGTGCTGTTCTTTCATGCCTCATGTAAGACTGGAAACAAATACACACAAGGACAAAGCATTAAAGGAAAGAAAATTAATGGCATGAGAACAATTGGGAGGTATATGTCGCTTCTCCCCTGTTGCTGCTAGAGACCAACTGCCTTTTAATTAGAGTGCTGTTTGCATTACGTGGGGGAGACAGCACAGAATCTCAATTACTCCCCCAAACACAGATGCAAGTGCCAGTATAGATATTTCAGTGATGGGAAGGGACCTCAAACAAACCACCCAGAGCCTACCCACACCATCCTCAGCAAAGACTTATGCTACAAACCCAAAACAAGACTCTATTTATGACCTGCATATCAGTCTGAGTAAGTTAATATTGGGTTAATGTGCTTAGTATTATACACAGGAGGTACTTAATGTCATGGCACTCCAAGCCAGCTCCTCAGATTTTTCCCTACTGCCACCCTAGAGATGGGAAAGCATAGGATTGTCTTACAGCACATATAAGTAACACTTTCTAGTGGAAAGCACTGAGCAAACACCATTGCAAATCACTACTTGATGGAGAATGGACCATTTTCTCCATAGTTTCACAGCCTTTACATCAAAAATGAACAGGACAAAAGATTCCAGTTAATTTTATGTGATATTCAGGAGTCAGGGAGACTTTGAAAATTTTAGGTTTAAACAGCCATGGAAAGCTGGTTTCTGATTTAGATATGGTAGCACGTGTATTAAAACACCGAACAATGAGCAGTCCAGCCCTAGGCATATCTTTCAGTCCCAGCGTGTTGCAAAGAAATAAAGAGTTAAGGAAATCAGAATAATGACTCGTCAGCCATGGCACTGCACCAGTGGATTTGTGCTGCAGCATGGGGCTGCATAAGGTTTAGCCTCTTTGAAAGCAATCCCAGTAATGGTACAGTCACCAAAGCAGCACCTGGTCAAAAGCCCCTCACCAAGATGGGCCAGAGGTCTGTTGTGCCATAAGCCGAGTAAGCGCCACTGCTAGGAGGCTGCTTGAATAAACCCAAACAGCTGCCACAACCGATACTGACTGCTGGCAAGTATGCACCTTCATCTGAATTTAAAAATAAATGGATAAAGGAGAGAGTGAGGAATATTCTTGCCTGTGGGTATTTGTCAGGAGACACCTGTCACTCCTCTGTCCCCATCACGGCTGCGTCCAGGTTGCTGCACCTCATGACACGTTGCTTTAGTTGGCTAACAAGCTGAAACAGCAGTATCAACCCGTTCTTTATGCATCAGCCCTAGCGACACCTCTGCAAGTTCACCTGATGCATTTGCACATTTTAATTACTTTTTCTGAGATAATGGAGAAGGAAAGTAGTTTTCCTTACTTAGCAATTAACAAAGGCTCTTTTAAAACTGTAGACACTTGCTGAATATCAAAAACAAACCTACCTCTCCAGGTCACTATTTCCTGAATGCCAATTTTGGTGGGGCGGGAGGGGGGAGCTGGAGAAAGAATCCCAGCAGAAGACCTGGTAGAAGTTAGTTCACTGACTTACTGTGGGCATGTCTGAGGTGCCTCTTCTGCAGCTCTAGCCCTCTCTTTCCATTTGAACACAAGCACTTATGGAGAACCTCCTGCCTGGTTTAATGGGGATGTCAGTGGACAAACTCAGCAGTTCAAATTTGCAGAACTGTCCTTATTGGTGACAGGAGATAGGAACTGTTTGGGGATGTAGTCTCCAAGCCACACAAAGGAACCAGAGAGCTTGATACCTTTTACAGCACATGTATCCTCAAAGAAGGTTTTTTTCCAAAATCAGTACTGCTAAGGGGTTTTCTGTAATATGATCTCCCCCTCTAAACTGAGGCAGCTCTGTTTGAGCTAAATAAACGTATGTCTGAAACAGCAAGGATTTCAGAAAATGTGGAACTTAATAGCTGTTGCACTGTGGCAGAAAGGAGGAATTCCCACAGTTGGAGAAGACTGGTTGGCTAAGAACCAAAAAGCCCTAAGGTCTCCAAACAGAGCATCACACAAGGTGAAGAGCCATTTGTACTGCTAAGGAACCCATGAAGACCGAATAACTTTTGTGAAAGCATCAGCACGGTGTGTGCTCCAGGGAAGTAACGTCAGATAACACGACTACAACTCTCATGAGTCAGACTGTTTCCAGCAAGCTCTCTTCTTTGTTCATCTAATTTTACTATTAGGCATCTTATCCTGAAGCACTGCCATGATTGAGAATCTTCTGTTCTCACTCTTCAGAAAACCCCTCTAATCCCGCTACCAAAAGTTCATGGAGAAAGTGCTTAGTTAAGAGGAAGAGGGGCAGGAGACACAGCTGTTGAAGTAGGCCACGGCGACACAGATCTCGGCACTCTGGGTTTAACAAAGCTCAGTCCTAAAATAAAAACTGCACAAGCTGAAATTATTAGAGCAAAACCAAGGCAGCTACAGAGAATGGCAACAGTCAGGCAAGGACTGATAGGAGTCTTCTAATTCAAGAACTAATTTACACATAAAGGCACAGTTCACACCCTTCATTGTGTCATGGCTTCCAACTATTGCCTGACTTTATAAAAAGAACTAACACAGTTATTTTGAAAAAAGCCAGCAGCGTGTGGTGGTATGTGTTTTAGATGCTGGCTCACGTGCTCAGAGCAAATGTGTCGTTCCCCCTTTCCAAAGATAGGAGATGGGCCACATGAGTAAAGTCTGCAAAATCTCCAGTTAGGAATTGTCAAGATCTGTGGTTTTGTAATTATGAGAGCTTATTTCAGCCAAAGTGAGACAGATTTGAAAGTAGGCCTTATTTGGATGAGAATGCAACACGAATGCTGTGGATGGCTTGATGAAAATAAAAATAAGAGATGGATACCCTGATGCCATAAATCAGTGTGCAGCATCTTTATGTGCTGAGTGGTTGCTATAAATCTCAGGCCCAGAATAGGCACCAAAAGTTTTGGGTTGTCACACCACTTCTATCTCAAACAAACACATTTAAGGAAAGTTTGTTGCTAAGGGATAACTGCTAACAACATCAGCAAGGGACCACAGTCCTCTCTGTGTCCCGGAATGGCCAGAGAGCACTCTGGTACAAACCCAGAGGTTGGTGGAGATTCCCCATAATTTTCCTCCCAGGCTCATGGCAACGGCCACACCTGGGAAAGCAGCCCTTGACCCACAGCCCTCCACCCAGTGCATGTGTAGACACCGAGAGCGCACAGGAACGACTGCCAACAGATGCCCAGGAGGGGAATTCAGTCTGTTAAGCCTTGTGAGCTGTTTGTGGCATGTGTACCCCGTTGTGCTGCTCTGCAGAGAAAAGAGGAGGGCAGACAGCACAGGGGTAGTGACGTGGTTATTACAAGAGCAGGAGAGTATGGAGCAATGTGTGCTGAGAACAGGCAGCGAGGCTGCAAAGGAAAGCGGTAATGCTTGGGCAAAGTGAAAGGGAGACTGTGACTGCCTTATCTCTGCCAAGCTGGCCCAGCAGAGAAAAAAAAGAGCTGCCTTCACTAATAAGAGCTCAGTGAGCACGCCTAACCAGACAGGCTCACAGTATTACCTGTATTTCACATCAAACACTGTTGAGTCTTCATCCTCATCATCTTCTTCATTCAGAGGAGCCATTTCTACCCGCTCAGCTGGAGTGGTGATTATGTCGTACTTTCTGGTCTTCTTAATCCTCTTGCCAGACCTGAAACACAGAGGTAGGAAGGGAAGGATCATCTTTATACAGTATTCCTTGGAGAGGCTGAACCTGTTTCTCACCAACACAGAATCACTGCCCTGTTTGATTCAGACCTCCCCAGACACGAAGGCTGCAGAGCCAGCCTCTGTCCCCTCCCGCTGCCTTTCCAAGGCCACCATTTGTGCCCGTCGGTGTAGAGCACAATTTCTCATCAACTGCAATCCAAATCAACATCACTCTTTCAGCCGCTGACAAACCAGAGATGCTCTGGCATCCAGAGCAGGCATATGAGTGCAGCAGCCCACGGCGTCCTCCTGCTGCCACGCTCAATAAGTGAGATGTGGGCTTAATCACCTGAAGCAGCCAATGGTGTAGTGAACATGTTTGGATGAGAAAGGCCAGGTTAAGCTCTGATGAGACAAGGGAATGTTCTAGGCAGGATTAGGAGCAAAGGGGTGGTGATGTTTGTGTACAAACAGCCTGCTCTTTTTCCTTGATACCAGGCCAAGCTCAGGACTCCCAGAGCAACAACCCTGAGCCTTGTCTGAGAAGTTCCATGCTCTACACTGTGTAGGTGCTATGAAAAATAGTAAACTATCATTCAAAACTAACTGTACCTACCACCTCTCCTCCTATAGATGCCACCCCGACTTTCGTTTTGAAATGGAGATGCTCATGCACCTGCATGTCCCACGGTTTTGAGATCTATTTTCTAACACTTACTTTCAATTAACAAACACTTGGTGCGATGTTTTTCAACTAATTCGTTGCCTCTAGCTTGAATTGTGCAGGTTCTTTTTATTTCACCTACTTTCATGCATATTAGGAAGGTCACACTGCTCATGCGTGAGTCCAGTTTTGTGATTAAAGAAAGGTGCTGATGTGTACAGCTAGCCTTCGGGAAGAAGAGTGGATGTTTTTGTTTAACAAAGTGCAGAATTTTTCCCTTCACCTTTTATAAAACAAAACTGCCAACTGCCAAGCATGAGAAGGGCGCTGGTGCAGGCACAAGCAAGCAGCCCCTAATTTTTGGCAATCACAACTACTGCTCCGAGCGGACAGCACACCATGAATACGCCTTCACTGTCAAGAAGTCTTGCCCTGGCATGTCATGCGAGATGTGCCGGATTCAACACTGCCATTTTTGCACCAAGAATGGATGCCTTTTAAAGAGTTAGACAGCAGCAAGAACCAAGGCATGAGCGTTACAGAGAGACTGGGACTCAAGCTCTGCGTTTGCATCTCTACCGCAACAGTCCCTTCCAAGCTTAAACTAAAGAAAATTTACGCTTAAATTAAGAAATTCAATTTAAATTTGAACAGGTCTGATGGGGAAGTCTCAGTGCCTCTGCCTAGCATTGCTTTTGGGCAGTAGTCCAAGGCTAAACAAACAGGTCCCGGCCCTTGGGATGGAGCAGTTTGCATTTCCTCCCTGTTCTGAAGGCGAAGGTTGCATCAGAAATGAGAAGAAAGTCATCTCCTCTTGTCTAATCTCTATAGCAATCTGTGCTGCTGTGTCACGTAGAGCACAGGGTGGTTTGTTCTATTACTGCTGTTGTTGAAACAAGCAATTTTATATCCAATACAGTAGGACTCTTAACCTAAACACTTGAAAATCCTTTTGAAAACACTTCTCTACATTATTCTGCTTCTCAGCCAAGACCTAGCAGCAAAGTGATGCAGGGAGGTCTCATCTTACAAGTATTATACTGCTTTTACATGAAACGTTTGCTAATGCTGTGAGGCCTAAACATAGACCACAACTAACCTGCGTCTGTCAGAACAAACCAAACACAGCCTTAGCACTTTGCCTCACACATACAGTCCTCAGGGGGTTTCCACAGGTTCACCCATCTAAGATCCTACCCGTGTATCAGGCTCACTTTATTGAGACATATCGTCCCTCATTCCCTCCATTAGAAAACATAACTTACTCTATGGAGTTCATCTTACAACAGTTAACATCAGAGTGTTTGAAGCAATTACTGCAGAATAGGTATTTTTAGAAATGGAAAACTAGAACCCTTTAGCCTCCAGCCATTAATTAGTCTATTTGGCCTCCACTTTAAAGAGGACCTGAAGCAGAACTCACTGCACAGTGATCTATTAATCTTCCAAAATCCTCACTTAAACACAGTGCTTATTTAAAAAAGGGAGGAAGCTAGTTTTGCTGCTGGTTTTTGGCTAAGCCGTTACAATCAGTTGTTTGCCAATGGCAGGGCAAAAGGGTCTTTCCTTGCCTCTTCTTCTTCAATTAATTCTACACCAGATTACCTAGCTAATTCGTCATTAATCTGTACTTTTCAGTGATCCATTTTCTCATACTTGCTCATCTGAATGACTCCCTTAGGCTTCATAAATACTAGAATTACCCAAGCTAACTTTAAAGGAAAACCTTGGAAGTGTTCCTACATTTACACAAAATAAGCCTGCCCATCAGGAAACCACTGCACATTAAAACTCCTGACCCTCAGTAGGATCCCTATAATCATTAGTGATGACCACGCAAAAGGAAAAGCACTTTATCTAGCAGGTGGGACCGGGCAGCACTTTTGTTTGCAGACAGACAGCAGAGTAGCACAGGGCAGGAACTACAGAATACAAATGTTTCATGAACTTTGGAGACCTCCTGGACAGGATCAGGACACCTTAGCCCTCACGGGCAAAGATGGAATCTCCTTTCCAGACACCTTCGTTTTGTGTGGGTCTTTTTTAAAGCAAACAAGAAGTTTGCTGGAAGCTGTCATCAGAGTATGCCCTGTGCATAATATGCTGAAATGCTCCCCAAGTGGTTTAGCCAGGGTAGAAGTGGTGCTGGCTATTTCAGTGCAGAAAACTGTCTCCACTTAAAAAAACAGGTTGCTTCTGCTGTCTGACTTCAGCCACCCCGCCTGTAATTAGAAGGGGATGCTACAGGTCTTGCACTGAATCATCACGAGGAGGGAAAAAGTTAACTGCAGCCGGGGATATTAACCTTTCACTTTAGACCCAGTGCTGCTCCCACCAAAACCAAGTCGCTGGTGTTAACAGAAGGCAAGCGTAGTGAGCACAGCACTTAATTGAGAGAAAATGAAGTGGTGTCTGCTCATTGGCACTGCCCTGGGCTCGAATGCTTGTGGCACCGTGCACCACACCAGGGTCTGGTCCATCAGAAATCAATGTACATCCTCCACTGCGCCGTGCACTGCAGGGAGGAACAACATACAGAGCTGGGCAGGAGTAGAACACTGACTTTGTGTTTCTGTATTTTGGCCGGGGGCTATTTTGATCAAGCACCAGTCATATGCAGCACTTCATCCTCCTTTCTGAGGCATCATATGGTGGAGTAAATGCTCAAGTCAGCTCACTAGTTCATATTATTTACGCCTCTAAACTATTTTAGTCAACAACCCTGATATTCAAAGACAGTGCTTTTCTTGAGAGAGGTCTCTGAATTTCTTATTTAGCATCAACACTTCCTGCCAAGAGAGGTAGAAAGAGAGGACCATCCCCTGGAAAAAAACAAAACAAAACAAACAAACAAACAAAAACAACAAACAAACAAACAAACAAAAAAAAAAAAAAAAAAAAAAAACAAAAAAAAACCACAACCCAAAGAAGCCCCCTATCCCTTCTTAGCTGAGTGCTTACTGGAAGTCTGGTTAAGCCAGCTACAATTTTTCTCCTAGAACTGCAGCAATGTTGTATCAGAAATGAAATTGGGACCAGATAATTTGATGTTAATGGGATCCCTTGGAAGTTCAAAAAAAAATACATGGAAATATAAACCTGGGGAAACTCCAGGCTTACTACCAGCTGACCAATTAGATCAGAGATATTTCATTACTGTTGATCTGTTTGGGCACCTCTGCTCTCTGGATAGTGCTGTAGACAATCAATTTAACCATGAAGCTAAGTTATCACATGTTTTCTGAATATACGTTTTGCTGTAGCAAACTGATGGTGATGTGTTTTCTAACAATCAAGTCCTTAAAATGTAATATATGCAGCCTCAAAGAGCAGAAGCATTCCCCCTGCTTAACTGCACTTCTAATAGGAGTGATGGATCTGAGACTGCCACTGGGAATAACTTCAGAAACACCTAAATGGTATATTGTCATGGTTCAATGAAGCAGATATCTGCAAGTAATTAAAAAACAGCCACTCACATCTGGTGGCCAGTACTAGACCCAGTACGTACTTCCAAACATTACAGCACAGTCAGACCAATATCATCTGAGATGTGCTCGAGAAGTATCCTTGTTTTTTATGGGGCAGAGCTATAGAAACTTCTATAATCTATCCAAACTCTTCAAGGTAGCGAATCCGACAAGAAACAACATTGATCCTCTGTTGTGACTGTTCATATCAGAGCTGTAAAGAGCCCAAAACAGTATGAGACGGCGACCCCTTCTCCCTTCATTCTCACAATTTGCTGTCTTGCTCACATCAAGACAATCCAGTCTTCCCAAAGACAGGACCTCTGAGACCCAGGACAAGCGGGGGACACTTGACACTCTCTGTGGCCCTAAACTACATGCAGTTTAAATTAAGCTTTTGATGTGGGATGCCTTGGTCTTGGTTGTTTTGTTGGTTTTGTTTTTTGGTTTTGTTTTGGTTTGGGTTTTTTTCTTCTCCACTTAAGATCATTTTAACTGTGATTTTTTTCTTTCCTGTTCCTGGCAGAGGTCTTGTCTTTGCTGGAATACTCTAACTAGTTATAATACAATTAAATTTAAATCAGTCAAACTCTCTGGGGTTAAGCCTTGGATGGCCCAGAGCAATTGCCCAGCTCATAGAACAAAGGGTCTTGTATCCTATGATCATATGCTTGAACCTTTCTCCTCAATCTCAGTAATTTCAGTAATTTATAACAGTTTTGCAAATACTGGAAAACTAAGCTTAAAGTGGTATTTGAGGAAAAAATCAAAATTGGACAAGCAACATAAACAAGCAATGAGTTACAAAATAAGTGGGTAGCTTTTCTCGAAAAATCTAGATAAATAGCAGCTTTTTCCAGCCTGGGTTCTGTTCATTCAAGGGCAGGTCAAGACACGTAGCGAGCGCTTATAGCATGCCGTTTTCCGCAACTAAAGCTTTAGGTTACTTTCAGCTGGCCCACTTGAGCAGAAGTAACTTATCCAGTTTCCCTAGAAGGCATACGGTCTACCAGCACAGACAGCCACATCTGAAAAATTACATTTCCTGGAAGCTGATCCCAAGAACTGTGTTTCAATTAAATGAACTGAGCTGTACCAGGAAAGAGTAGGGCAGCACATGGGGGTAAAAAGGCAAAATCCAAAACACAGATCAAAGAGTGAATTTAGCCGTGTGAACTGTTCATAGGCTGTTGCTAGACACTGTGTTTCTTGGTAATGAAACTACCCAACTATGTGACCGAGACTAACATGGAATTTTGTCTGTTGTGGAAATGGTTTTGGTCTGGGAGCATGCAATGCCCAGAGGTATAGGAAAGAAAGCAAGCCCAGAACTGAGCTTGCCAAAAAAAACCACCACTATAGCATATTAGGCCTTGCCACATGCAGACAAGTAGCAGAGTTTTGGCTGGCCTTCATAGTCCCTATTAAATACGGAGAGAAAGGAAATTCAGACCACTCTGGGTGATACCACATTCTGAGTCACGGGACCATCAGATGAATTCAGAGCCTAACATTCCCAAAAGGCATGAAGAGGAACCTCTGAGCGTTGTCTTAAAAACAGAGCTGGAAAGCTGGAGATATATATCTATCCCTACTCAAACAAAAAAAAGAAAATAATATGTACATAAAAATATATAAAAATTAGATGTATAAAAAAATAAAGCCAATGCCTGTGACAAGAATATCTGGCCACTCAGTAATTCATTTCGTTTCTACAGCCCATATCTAAAAGGATAATTTACTTCCAGCAACCCAGAGCAATTTCACAGTGAAGGTTTAATCAAAGATTGGATTTCAGCAAAATCTCTTTAATAGGAATCCATGACACTTCAAAAAAAACCCAAATCACAGTGTTTTTGATTAAGTATGAACAAAGCTCTTGTTCTGATGGAGAAAAGCTTTACATTTATTGAGGGTAAACTGTTATCTCTTCTGCAACAGAATCTCCTCCAATCTATGTTGTCAGCTGCAAGCGTGACACTGTACAAACATACCTGTTGGTATTCTTGCCTCATTTGCAACTAGGGTAACTTTACAAACAAGTGCTTTGTCAGATAAAGAAACATGCTCAGGAGCCAAAAGCTTCATTCTCCATTTCCCTTGTATGTTCTATTAAAGATAGATAAGAGATCTCAGAGGGTGGGTTTTTTTTACATATTATTAATGCTGCATTAACTCTGATCAGTTGTGTAACAATGACTTTGGCATGGGAGAATTAATCCATCGTTCCCAAGGTGACTTTAACCTGGACCTGGTTTTGCTGATTATGGTATAGGGAAAGGTCTTTAAAGGCTGTCAGTTTGATTTCTTTGGCTAGAAACATTCAGTCTTATACCAGGTCTCCTTTACACCTAGAAGAAACTGAGGCAGAGGAAATAAACTCTCCAAGATCTGAGAGTATTAGGAGTAGAAATTTAATCTTTTCATTCTGCACTTAGAGATTTCCCAATTCTAGCTCATACACCTACTATCAATTTTGCTGTGTTTGTCCATGACAACTTTATACAGCTGCAAATCAGTTACATTGATTAAAAAAAAATTCTCTTTAATATTTCACTGGGTTCTCCCAAACCACTTCACTTTAATAAGCAAATTTATTTGCGTTGTCTTTTGCCAGCTGCGGCAACACGTTAAGAAGAATTTAGTTAAATGTCACTTTCTTCAGAAAATATCAGTTCTTATAATTTTGGTCTTTAAGACCACACTTTATAATACTACTGTTGTGAACACTGCCCTTCCTACGCAGAATTAATTCAGAAGCAGGAGTAGCAGAGCATTCAACTGCAGCCATCGTGTAAATACAAAGGAGCTGCTTGAAGACAGAACAAGGAAGAACTTTCCAACCCCACCTGTTCAACTACTTCTGTCACCCGAGACACAGCGCTCACCTCCTCCCTGCCGCCGAGAGCCAGCTGCCCCGCGCTCCCGGCTCTTGCCTCTTTCCTGCTGCCCCTGCCTAGAAGTCAGACGACTGTTAACTACAGAAAGTTTGCCATCTTCCTGGCAAAGCTGGGCACAAACAAGCAACAACTTTTTATTTGTAGACGGGATGAGGCAGGGACAACCTCTAGTACACCATGGGGACAATCGCCGCTACCCTGAAATAAATAGCAATTAACAAAGGAGATTTAATATTTCATTTTCTCTCTTCCGGCAACAAGAGGAGAGGAAGGCTGGCTTGCTAAAGGGACTGAGTTTAATTTTCTCTTGTCGCTCACCGTGGGAGACATTACATGAGTTTCACAGTTTGCCTGGTTAACTCAAGCAGGCACCAGCACCAACCCACTCCAGCAGCGTGCAGGGCAGTGAACGAACTGGCCTCGCACTGGTTATGCCACACTAGAACAGATGAGGTACGAGCACCAAGCAGATGCAAACCTCTGCCCAGCTTCCTGCTGCTCACCAGCACTTCTGCCGAGCGCCCAGGAGTTTCTTTCCTTTTGTGTTGGGAGCAGGAGCATGCATCCATCAGCAATCCACCTGACTGAAACATCAGGGAGTCTGGTTACCCATCACAGCTCCAGTCAAATCAGGGCTGTGATCTAAATCAACGTCTACTTTTGGCCATGCTGGACTTCCTCAAGCTTATCTGCTTGAGCTTCATTAAAAGGAATCAGAAAGAGTGGGGTTTTTTTACGCAGCATGAGTTACTGCAGCGGTGACGTCTGCATTATCCCATGGGTGCACAGGACACGCACGGCTGAGGCTGGATGGGACCCCTCGAGATCAAACAGGGTCACCCGCAGCTGGCAGCCCCGTTGGGCTCTGAGCGTCTCCACGGATAGAGACCCTGGGCCGCCCATCCCAGTGACCCACCACCCCCACAGCAAAAAGGAAACCCGCGTATTTTTATACTGTCGGATGGAGCTTCAAGTTTCGGTTTGTGCCCACCCCAGTCCCCAGCCAGCGCCGCAGCCTCACACGCTGAACTGGGACCCGTCAAAAAAAAACAAACGAAAAAAAAAAAAGAAAAAACCACCACTTGAAAACCATCGCCTGGCCTATTTTTCCACAGATACAGGGGAAGATGCAGATTTGCGAGGCTGGCAGCGCCCCTACGACTCCCCCCCCCCCCCCCCCCCCCGGGGTTTCACGCAGCGTGCTGCGCCGCAGGTCAGGCTTGAAGAACGTTATTAACGGGCGAGGAGCGCGGTGCCGCCGCTCCGGGGAGCCTAACGGGGCTGAGCGCTGCTCGCCCGCCCCGGCCGCAGCCCCCCGGGGCGCAGGCCCCGGCACCTGCCCGGTGAGGGCCCGGCGCGGCCCTACCTGAAGACGCGGAGCAGGAGGCAGGCGATGAGGGCGGCCGTGAGGGCGCAGGCCCCGATGACGGCGGCCTTCAGCGCGGAGAGGTCGCGGAGCAGGGCGGGCACGGGGCTGAGCTGGGCCCCGCTGTGGTTGCCGGGCGCGGCGGCCGGCTGGGCGGGCAGGCGGCTGCCGTTCGCCGCCGCCGGTCCCTGGCCGGGCGCGGCCGGCGGCAGCGGCGGCAGCAGCAGCAGCAGCAGGCAGGCCGAGAGCAGCAGCAGCGGGCCGGCGGAGCGCATCCTGCCCGGCTCCGGCCGCCCTGCCGAGCCCCGGAAGGCAGCGCCGGCCCGGCCCGGCCCGGCCCGGCCCGCCTCCCCGAGAGGCGCCGCCTCCCGCGGCCGGGGCCCCGCGGGGCCTGGGGGGGGGGGGGGGGGGGCCGGTGCCGCGGCCCCCGGCGCCTCCTCCCGCCGCGGCCCCGCCGCTAACGGGCGCTCTCAGGGCCAGCGCGCAGCAGCTGCCCGCCGATCGACCGGGTTCAGACCGCGATCAGACGTGCTACGGGCCGGTGCTGCTGGGTCTGCGTGACGCCGCTGCTAAAATCAGGGATTTCTAGATCAGATTGATTTATTTATTTGGCCTTTCCTCGAGCCACCTAGCCTACGCTTCCAGGTTAACTTATTTACTGATATTTCACATCTGTAAAGCCTTAGGATTCGTGGAAATCCCAGCCGCGGTTCTGCAAACCGTCCCGGGTGTGCTGAGCGTAAGTGCCGTCATCTGAGACAGACAAGGAGATAAACACAGGAGAAGGGGAGCGGTGCTGTGATGCTGCTAAGATACAGCTTACTTCTGCTCTCCGTGTTTAGTATTGGCATGAGCTTCAGCCCTGCAAAATAATTGTGTCTGGGGAGAGGGGCATGTTGCCGCTGAAATGAAGTGGAACAGAGAAGAGGAGAAAGAAGAAAGAGCTGATTTCCTTCCTATTAATCTCTGTACTTCAGGGTTGGCGTGGCAGGGTATAATCCATACAAACGCGTGACTGAACTGTGAAAAAGACTACAGAGATGTATTCTCTCTGACAGTGTCCCGTAGGAAAGGTGGCCATGAAATAATGCATGGCTCAGCGACTTCCCCAGACAGTTGGGATGCTGTATCAAATGCCACCCACTCGGTAATAAAAGCATCCTGTGTATTTTGCATGAAGTTCTTTCCGATGAGGAAATTTTGACATGGACGATAAGCAGAAGGCCCCACAGACTGTCTGAATTGGTCATTGTTCCAGCTTTATTCCATTGCTTGCTTTTCTGTAATTTCCCGGTTTCCGACATGAGGCCCCAGTTTATTTCCGTTCAGGAAAATAAATAAATAAATAAATACATAAAATCCAGCTGGGCAGGAGGTCAAATTGGCGATGCAGGCTCTTTCCCAAACATTGGTGTGAGCATTGCTTACATGATTTATTATTTGTAAACACTGACCCTGATGGTGGCCCTGCCTGTTCTGAGAGGTTTGCCAGCTGCTGCTCAGCCTCTATCTGATTTCACTTGGTCGCATCCTGCCATTCCTCTTGCAGTACAGTGCTTCTCCGTAGGAGGAGGGAAGAGGTGTGAGGGACTTTGAAAGCGAGAACCATCTCCGGCTGGTCACAGAGCTTAGGGTCCAAACCCACATCAACCGTTGGCTTTTACTTGTCTATGTGAAATCAGAGCTCCACAGTGCCATGCACTGGGCATATACCTAGTCAAAGACACTATTCACCCTCAAAAACTAGTATTCGCAATTGCTGTATGGGAATCCTGGGTGTGAATCCACTCAGGATTCTGCTTTACATGCTTAGCCATTAGACAGGAGTGATGGTTAAACACTAGATGATGTCCCACACTGATCCCTATGTCCGTTACTTTGGTGTTCCTTGGGCAAGGAGAGACGGATGCCAAAGACTCCTACTAAGCTTGCTCAGAGCAGAGTACTGCCAGCTTTGCTGTGGAGTTATGCAGGATGGCTGGGCAGCAGAAAATCCTTCTGAAAAGCATGAATAATGGACATTACTAGACCTACAATTTTCCTGTGGTCATCTTTAATCATATCTCAGCCTTGCTGCTGTGGTACTTGACTGGCAAAGGGGCAATGCAGTCTTTGTAAGCCAAGTGTTCTCTTTCACATCCAGTTTTTAATAGAGCCTGAATTATAGCTGAAATAAATATCCTGCAAATTTGCAACAGGATTTGCTGTATTGTATGAGCAGATCAGTGTAATTTTGTCTGAAAGGCACAGCCTGAAACATCTGTTACTTGACTAGCATAAACCAGGCAGTGGTAGATGCTGGATCTGGCACTTTTGTTTGACTTTTATTGCTACTTTCGGGGTTTTTTTTTACGTTCCTGTGGCAGATGTTTCAATCTACTAAGATTGAGTCTGAAAGCCAGCACAGGGAATTAATATTTATTGTTGCTACAGACTTCCTCTGTTTGACAAGGTGCAATTGTACCAGTATGTATGGTGTCAAACATATTCCAAAGAGTCTAGAAATTATAAAGCTCAATATTCTTCTCACTTGATTCTGGTCTCTCTAAGAAGTAGGCTTATGCTCTTGGGATTTTTGGTGCTCAGGTGAGAAGCTGTACAGAAGGAGGAAGAAAAGGAAGGAGTTATCCATGTACAAAGTGCAGTTATTTCCATTTGTACCATTGCTTTGTCCCCTGCCTTCTAAGGTTCTTATTTATGCCCTCTTCTGCCTGGGTCTGAACATAATTGGGTTTTAACCAGGCTCTCTGTGATGGTGTTTAAGGATGTGGATGCTTTTTACTGCATTCCTTGAGTTCAGTTAGCTTTCGATCTAGACACCTGCAGAGTCAGGAAGTCCCATAATTCATACCTCTGTGTACCTCTTGCATGATCCCTGCATGTCTTTTCCACTGAAAGGTGTCAGAGAAATGCAGATGTGACCAAGCACAGAGTGTTTCAGGTGGCTGGTGCTGAGATTAGATGTCAGAGGTGCTTGGAGCCGCATCTGAAACTCTCTGAAAGAAAGTGGAATCTTCCTCTTGGCTGAGGTGACCCTTCCATCAAACTCTGTATTGCTTTGAGGAGTTGAGCGTGTGCCTGGGGGTGTCTGTGACCTTCTGCGAGGAGATGGAGCAGAGCTGCTGGCTGGAAGGCTGCCGCATTAGTCCCGTGGCTCACCAAGTGAACCGTAGAGAATGTCCCCTTCACGTGGACAACATGGAATGGCTGGGTGGATGTGTGGCACCCAGCAATTCTGCTGCTCCCTTTGGCAAAGGATTGCCTCCTTCTTTGACTGCCCTTAAATAACATACTCGGAGCCTGGAGGGCCTAGATTTATGCCACAGTGCCTCCCTTCTGCAGTGCAATGGGACATTATATTCCACCACGTTTTGAGGGACGCTGAGGAACGGCTCAGATACAATTTAATTTGGTTTTGTTCTTTAGTTAGGTCAGATTGGGCTTTGTTCCCATCTGTTCAATAGAAATCTCAAGTAACTGATTCTTAAGAATATCTAAGCTCTGATCCATTTTTTTCTGAGCTATACCAAGTATTTAGTGTAGTCTCTTCCCCTTCATATCTTAAAAAGGCTGAACCAGCAGAATATGTCTCAACTTGTTTGAGAACGAGGCATACAGCCCCAAGAGGTAGTATATCTCCCGAGGACTTCCCAGCATCTCAGCTAACTTTATACAACATAAACTGATTCAGCTGTCCTTGCTATCTTAACTTCCTTCCAAGCCAGAAGAGGGAAGTTTTACCTCAGAAGTGAAAATACTAAACCAGCCTCAGGAAATGCTATACTGGAAAGAAATCCTGAAACTGTAATGAAGGGGTAAAAGGGCCCTCATCTCAACAATGGTCATGGAGTAGGATCTTCTGGGTTTTCAACCCTGCAATAAACTGAAGCCATTCAAAGACTCAGCTTTCAGAATTCAAACAAATTCAAACAAATAGGCTGTTAGAGCAGAGGAAGCGTGCAAGTTCTTTTACAGTCCTACCCCTAAAAATACCGTTAAAGTTGGAAGCAGGACATCCAAAATCTCTGTCAAATGGCAGTATCCAAAGGAAATATTTGCAGATTGTTGCTATACAAATAATCTATAAATATTGCTCCTGAATTTTAAGTTAGCTTTGCAATCCTACCTCCAGATTCTGAAGATCCTGAGGACTTTCTGAGTAAATGTATTTGAGGTGACGAGTTATAACAGTTTTGGACAGCATAATTTGTTTCATGTGGCTTCAGGTTTTTTTGTTTGTTGGTTTGGGTTTTTGTGGGTTTATTTTTTTCCTTGTAGATGCGTTACTGATATTTCGCATGTCATTTGCCTAATTTGGGAATCATTCCTGGTTCCTGGTCTGGAATGCAGGATTTCGCAACTCTGTTCTTCAATGACATCATGTGGTTTGTTCTGAACAGAGCAGTAATAAATAAGAGCAAGGGGAGTTTACCAGTCATTCTGTAATAAACATTTTATCTGAATAGTCATCTTTTGAGGATCTGAACTAATTTCTGAGTTTTAGATTTTACCTAGCAAGTCACGTTTTCCATGTATATAGGACAGAGTCCCACTTGGATAACAAGGAAACTACATCTTGGTTTCATCTCCCTCTTAGCAGTGTTTGATGTGAAAGCCTGCAATCCCAAGAGCTTTGGTAGATGAACAGGACATTGAGAAGCTGAGAGGAAATTCACAGTCAGTGAAAAATGCAGAAATGATTTGGTTTCCTTTCTGATGAGAGCTTGCTTTTCTTTCTTGATACAAACATGAACCTGGAGGAGAAGGCTTTGCTGATTGCAAGGGTGGGAGCTGGTGTAGCTTTTCTTCCTGCTGAGCTGTTCTTCCAGTTTACACCTGTTTAGTATCATTATAAGTTTGAGCTCTCACTAGCAATTGCACTTTCTGTAGAAGAGTCTGGTGCTGGCTACATGGAACGAGTGAGTGTGTTTCTATATGCAAACGCTTCTGGGAATGGCAGATTTCTGTATTTATGGATGCCTGTTACAAAAGCATCCTCATTTGTGGGGAAGGCTCTTCATGCATTGCTTAGCAATGCATATGAAGCTCAGGCTGCCCTTTTCCATGTACTCTCTGATGGCCTCCAGGCAGCACCCGGATGTATTTTTAGCTCTCAGAATAGCGGAGAATTTGCAAGAAATTGTGCAGAGAAGAAATAAGCAAAGGAGTTGAAGCTGGCTTAATTGCTGGATTTAGGCAAGCAGGATTTGCAGGAATGAATATGTGTTTCTGTACAAGAAATGAAATGTATACAAAATGAGGTAAACTACCTTCATGAGGATTTTCTGCAGAAGTAATACACCTTCTGGACAAAGACCGGAGTTTCAATAAGGAAGGTGTATTGAGTT